TTGTAGTGAAACAACGTTGAATTGTGTTTTATGACTAACATTGTTGACTGATTGTTTCATTGTTGGTGTTTTAAGTAATCATAACACATTTGAATATTGTATGATAATTGGAATAAAATTGGCGTTCAGATTGCCATGTATGTTAAATATATTTACGATGTATTAAGTAGAACTTACAAAAAATATACAAAAAATAATTTAAATCGTAAATCTATTCTTGAAAACAGAAAAACAGTATCCAAAATTATTTTGTACATAGTTGGCTTATACGTGAGTATATATTTATAAAAATATACAAACATAATATTTAATGTTTTTGAAAAATAAATATAAAAAATTACAATTCCTCGTTCTTCTTCTTTGTTTTATTTGTTTTCCCTCTGGTTGCACTCTGCAAAAATTCGTAAATTTCATTAATTTTAACTAAATTAATTCTGTACATCGCTATGTCAACTATGTATTACACATTTACCTGTTTCTCTTGTTCTCTGTAATAAACTTGCCCTTCGAGCGTAACATGTGACAATTCTGGTTGTTGCAACAAATAGTTCTTCGCATCTACCGCCTGAGATCCCTCACGGAATAGGAACACGCATCTTTTCTGATCTATTAGATATCTGTAAATGAAACGATTCAATATGAAATTTCTGCAGCTTAATCAACATATAAGGCAGATGCAAGAATCCTGTTCACCTTTCAGCAATAATATGATTATTTTGTAAACTAGTCTGCCATATTTTCATTATTACATCAGCTTCTTCAGTTGAAACATGTTCGTTAATGTCAACAAACATCATCACACCTTTGCCTCTCTTAGTCATTTTAAGAACATTGTCAGGATTCGACATATCAAGCTGTATTGTAAAATAATTATGAAACAAGACTATTAATGGCTGAAATCGACAGAAAACGATTGCTTATTATACCTGCGATATGTCAACTTTTGGACTTGGTCTAAGATGTTCCGGTAATTCATCCGGTTCTAAAGGTTCATCGTTCTCCTAAAATGTAAGAAGAGTATAATGAATTTTATCTTTTAGGAATACCCGTTCGATTATTAAGAAAGATTTAAAGAAGAACTCACCTCCCACTGGTCTAACAAGTGCTCTAAATCTGCGTCGGTCATATCGCGTATATCCTTGTCTTTCCATGATTTCTTCTTCTCCGATTTAACGTTATTAGTGGCATTAACGTAAAGCACAAGAAATATGCTACAAATTATAATTTCTCGCTTCATATTGAAATCGCGTTATTCTTGTAGCGGACGATACTTGACCTTTATTATCACGGTTCCCAAATATCAATGTATTTTAGAAATCATTGATATCTATCTTCTTGCTGCCTAGAATTATTTACTTAGCAAAAATCTATTTACAAATTATTCTGTAATCTTTCCGTCACCTAAAGTACAAACAAAAATGATCAATCTGCATACATGTTACGGTAAACTCATATTATGTAGGTACAGTACACATCAGTACACATGTCGCCAGTCGCCACGAGTTTTATCTCATGGCAATTTGTAATTGTGTTGTGCACAGATGTGGTGGAAACCGGCGCAGCTTACTCGGGGTGGGGGTACATGGTAGTAGGGATAGCCTTAGACCATATATAATACTAGACACGGCGTGTGTATAATGCATGTACAGAAAAGTCAAGGTTCGGCGATGCAAAGATGAATCGACACGGAAATAGTAAGGGTGCTCTAGAGCAGTGCTCTCAGATTCCTGACCGCTTTACGACTTTCTCCGAAGAAAGTAGGAGTGGGAGAATTACCCATCACAAATGGGATTTCATTGGCAACCATTGGAATCGTTCAATCCTATTTGTAACATTCCCTCTCCTTAGAGTAGATTGCGAGCAGAAAGTCCATAAGATACACACACACACAATGTCTGTACGTATTCTAAGTCTGTGGCGGTACAATGTACATATGTACAAAAAAGTGTTGATAGAACAGAGATCTTTCTTCACGATACGATCTAAGCATGTAGTGTCTCCATCTAGCATGATCTAGTAAATGCCAAACAAATGTGTATAATATAATATTTATGCTTTTTAACTCGATGACGTAAATGTCATAAATTGTAGGGACAATATGTCATTTCTATTGTTCAGTTGTTTTACAAATTTCAGAATCGTAATCCATTGAAGATTCTACAACAAGGTACGGACTCGATCTTCATATTTTTACTAACAGAAAGGATAGAAATCTCGTTCGCATTAACAATCTTACCACGTTCGAATCGAAACAAATATGTTTTCGTATTCTTTTTTCTATAGCCACAGCTACATGAATTAGCTTTCGATGATCTATACTGCGTATTATACGAAATCATAGATTGTGAAAGCTGCAAATGAAACGATTAACTTATTTGACGTCGACAGGTATGTTTTAGGTGTTCTCCGAGAAAGCAAAAAGAATCGGTATACAATTTAGGTTATTGAATTGCATAACAATGAATAACATTCTATGAGAATAATAAGCATTGTTTCTTTCGGAAATATGTATTTTTCGTTTTGTCAATTCATAATAACGTGCATAAAGTTGGACTGCTTGTGACATTACTTGTGACATAGATCTATGTTTGTTTATGATAATGTGGATAGACTAGGTAATGCGTATAAATTTTATAAATTCTCTTATTTTGTGTTACTGGATCACCCTATTTATAACTAATTCTTATTTTCTTTCAGGATGATCTGAGATTGAGCTCGATCGAGTTTGAAATTTTCGTTTACTGTTGACATCGTTTAGTATATAATATAAAGGATAATGGACGTGGAAGAAATAACGAAACTTAGCAAATTGTTACGCGAAAATGGAGACAAAGTGTTATGTGCGTCCAGCAAGCTCTCCTTGTCAAGCTCATTAATCTTTGACTTGAACGAAGGTTTTAGTTTGATTATGAATCAAGTGGAAGACTTGGAATCTTCTTTCCAAGTATGCAACAGTTCTAAAATCGTTCTATTCAGGGACCTGAAATTTCTACATGATTTTGTGCAGAAAATAGTTGGTCTAAAAGTGTTTGAATGTCCAAATAGTCCTAGGATTCCTGTCGATATATCAAAATTCAGGCATTTGAAGCATTTGGAGCTGAAAAAGATTGATATTAGGAGCGTGAAAGGACTGCAGGGAATCAGGGGACAACTACAAAGTATTATCTGTACTGGAAAACAAGGTGTTTGTGCTATAAAGCAATTATTAGGTAACATATTGTACTATTTTATAATGATAATTTACTAGAAATATTACTATGATAATGCAAATATATAATTTAAGTTATATACAGCTAGATGTGGCGGTGATGCCAGTTTTGGATTTGTCTGGAGTTCATTAAAACATTTAGCATTACCTTACAATGCACTAAACAAATTGGATGCATCTATGGAATTCGCACTTTGGTTGCAGACACTAGACTTGAGTCATAACATGATAACGTCTGCGGATGAATTGGCTTGTTTACCTAACTTGAAATATGTTAATCTAGGGTACAACAAACTAGAGGCGGTACCTGTTTTCAATAAAGCTGTATCTCATACATTACGAATATTAGTATTAAAAAACAATTACATAGAAAATTTAGATGGTATTATTATCTTCTATATCTTTATACTTCTGCAAGGTGTATAGCTATAGTAAATGCATTGCTTTATTATTACAGGTTTGCAAAATTTAGGAAATTTAACAGAATTAGATCTATCCTTTAACTGTTTGATGGATCATTCGAGGTTGTGGGTCTTGGAAAATATGTCCACATTGTTATCGGTTTCATTAAAGGGTAACCCTTTATCGTATCATCCAAAGCATCGATTATTATGTATGAAATATTTACATTCGTGTTTAAGTGATAGTCAGGTAAGATGTCGCGAGCATAAACATAATATGCTATATTACACATAACTACTCAACCATTATCGGATATAGTATAAACGCGAATAAAATTGTACGATTTAGTTCGTTTTAGACCATTCATCGCTCTCCAAAAAGGAAAAGCAAATCATTACCAACAACCGACAGCGTACAACGAAATTTGTACAATCTACGTCAACTGAATTCTTAGCTTCGACGTCAAATTCAGTGAATTCAACTGTCTTATCTGTTTCTATAAACTCGTCTACGTTAAGTGAAAACGGAGTAGGAAAGTCTACAGAAAATAGTGTAGAAAAATCCCTCATCAAAAGAAAGATCGTGAAAGAAGCTGTTATCGCAGAAGGCGAACAAGAAAAGAATGACTCTGGAGAACCTAACGCTTGTAGTTCTTATCTAGGTAAATTCATATTTCCAAATAATGAATTTGAAATAACTTGTTACATACTAATTAATATAATTGTTGTTACATGTAGAGACTTCAAAGCTCCATTTGGAGACGAAAAAGGAAATTTTAGCCTTAAGGAATAAGTTTGGCGAACAGAACTGGTTAAGCAGTTATGCTGGTACGTTCGTTCAAGATACGGATTTGCAAGCATCTCCATTTTTTTCGCTGACTTCGGATTCTACAGACGATATTCTAGAAGAAACACTAAATACTGAGACGTCTGGAATGCCATCAGACGATGATTCAATTAATAACTTGCAAGCAGATGTAAGAGAAAAATCTGTACATTCGGTGACGGAAAATAGCGAAAGCGATAACGTTCAAGAAGCCCGTAATGAGAAATCAAACGAGTTTGAGGAAACTGTTTCCGCAACGGCGTTGAATGAAGCAACAAAAGCTTTTGTAGATCCTAAACCTATTTTTGATCCAGAAAAGGGTAAATTTTAAATAAGATATAAATATAGATTATGGAATCATATTTTAATTGTAATTTATGTTTAGAAACAGGAGACATATACACAGTTCAAAAGAACAAAAACGATCATGAATTAGAGAGTTTATTCTTGATAATATCAGTAGAGTAAGTGTAACAGTAACAGGTTCTTGAACTTCATCTTTTACTTTAATGTTAATCGTATAATTATTGCAGTGACATTAAAGAAAGAGATTCACTTACGGGAAAACTAATAAACAGTTGGTCTACAAAGTCAGTGTTATCGTGTGTATTGGGTAGAAGTGAACCGATCACAGTCGATATAATATTTGATACGACTAGGGAACATCGTCAAAATAGAAGATATTTTGTGGAACCAGGGGATGCAGAGGTAATCAAATTAAGAAATGAATATTTTTATAATTGTTGCATTGTTTTCGCCCATTTAAGAGTATATTTCTCCAGAAAATAGTGACTACACTTGCTGAAACATTAAAGAAGCGGCCGATATTATTGAAAGTTTTTAAATGCATGAAATGTTCTACACATTTTTCTCAAGATACTGAATACGTTACTACATTAAGCATAGGTGAGTTCGCAAACAAACCAGTGCACAGAATCTTACTGTTTTAAAACGTTTCCTTCTTTCCAGGTGTAAAACAATTAAAATGTCCTACTTGCGAAAGTACTTTGGTCATAGAAACGGACGAATTGTCAACAGTGGATGTGGAAAACGATTTTTCCGAAGATTCATCAGAGTGTTTGTCTAAAGATCAAAATTCAGAACACACTATAAAAGCTAGATTACAACATTCTGATTCTTATTCTAGCATTGGTAAGTATCATTCAGGCTGTTGCATGCGTTTTGTAATTACAAATGAATAAGTAAAATATTTGTTACAAAATTCGTACTTGTTACAAGCATATAACGTTAGTGAGATAATATTTCTCTTTATGATAATGTAACCCATTTTGTTTAACGTGTTTCCTTGAAACTTGACGAGTTGAGTTCAAAACAATTGTAACATATATAGTTGCAAAGTTTACGTAAAAATTAACCATCGTTTCTTCATATGATACTAAGTTTTCATGATATTAGTGCCTTTCAATTTTTAATAAGAATAATATTTATGATTAATTTATTGATTGTGAATGCACTAATTATTTTGCTGACATAGTTTTACTATTTTACTATTGATTGGGAGTATAACATACTAATGCTGGTGTAGGTGGAACGGAGGGTGGAGCTATATCCGTCACCACACCTCTGATGCACTCCGAATCTCACACTCAAGTACAAGTCAGCTGTAAGCTTTAACCACAATAATTTTATTACTGCACCTTCTGTTTTCTCAAGCTTTCCTTCCGTTTATATCTTGAAAAAGACATAAGCTATTGTAATAGGCTGCTTCACTATTTACAATTAGTTTTATTATTTTGTCTTACAATCTTGGTGTACGATGAATTTGAATACAATTCTACTAGTTTATCTACTCAATATCACTACAATTACGTAAGAGACGAAACGAAAGGAGTAACCACTTATCATCATAATACACAATAAATCAATTGAACACTGATTTAAAGTAATGTTAGATTTTTATGTACATAAACTCTTACAAACACTTGTAAACTGTTGACACTGTTATTAATAGGTTCTGCTACAAGCTTGGAAGAATCCAGAGAATCTACGCCATCTGCAAATGCGCTAAATAAAAAGTATGAAAGTGATATTGAAATACTCAGCAATCCGAGTGAGGGTAGTATTGAAGTTTTGGACGAAGCATCCAGGTTGGTAATATTATCTACATTTTCAATTAATATTACCAGCTTACGTTTTCTGTAATTATCACAGAACTCACCTGACACCGCACAGGAAGCGTTCTTCAGAAGAAAGACGCACTGCTGTTGCTCCATCTCTCTTAACCATACCGGATGCAATACCAATTAAGACTGGTTTAACTGAGAGTAGTTCTTCAGGTTCGCTGCTGTGCATATTGTAGCTAGCTTAATTAATTATAAAATAATAAGTACTAAAAGAATTGTTGTTGCAGGTTCACTGACAGACAGTGTTTGTACTGCGTATGAAAATAAAATAACTAGACAAGCTAACACAGATGAGAAATCCCTTAACACTAGTAACAATAAAGAGACCAAATTTGCATCCGTAACTAATTTGACGACTCTGCTAGGTGGTACGTTAAATTTACAATACAAGCTTTCGGTATATTGTGTATTAACAATGTAATTCCATCGAATATTAAAACTTTTAGGTCTACTTCAAAGCATAAAAATTGATAGTAACAAATCATTGATGACGAAAGCAGAGGAATCGTCGCATTTCTTGAGCAATAATATTCAGTATTCTTATACAGATTTCAGCAGTATAGATCACAGAATAAAACTACACATTATATTGAATATATTTAAGCACCAAAATGAAGAACTTATTCTTCTGCTTAGGGTAATAAATCAAACCAGCTATGGTACTATTAGGAATAAAATATTTCAATGGAATTGTCTTCTCTATTTGCTAACTTGTAGGCGGACATTCTGATGCAGAATGCAAAGGATCCATTTCCTGGATGCCTTGTTTTATCTACATCGAAAGTTTATGTTCTTCAAATCGATGGATCGGAAGGGTAAAAATAATTTGTATTTTATAATAGTTACATGTTTTTTGTTTGTATAATTCTGAATCTGTGTTACAGAGAAGATCCACAACGTTGGTTGCACAAGGAAGTCAGTTGGACGATGGATAGGCTAAGGTCCTTTGCACCGTTGCCCTTCAAACAGGGTGTCTTAATTGAATTGGAACAGCCTAATAAATTAAATGAACAGCTACAGCCAACTATTCAATTTTTATGCATTCTGCAAGATTTTCAGAGAACGTCTAATTTTCTGTTTTATATCTCTGGTAAGAAAAGTTAATTTCTTTTTATAATTTACGAACAACATAGTTGCGACCTGGATCTAAAATAGAATTTTTATTCGCAGACATGTCTTTACCACCAAGTTGTGAGATTGAATTCGCTGTGCCAGAACATTGCACCGCATCGATGCATCAACTATTAAAAAATTGCAAGAATTATCAGGATGGAGATGCTGTTAGACTGTTAGCATTGTTCCGTTCTGGCTCGATAAAGTGCCAACATGACGAACTGCAAGAAAAACTGTCCTCTTTCATCGTAACCGCAAACGTTTTAGTGATATGCAATATGCACTGGCTTTTGCCAGACAATAAAGAAGTGCCACGCTTAATTAGGGAACAGCCTCTAAGCAATTTAGTCGGAGTAGTAAGTGAATAATTATCGTGATTTTGCGATTACGAATAAATGACGCTTTTTGCAAATACTATGTTTTATTTTAGGAACATAACGATTTATCGTTAACGTTGAACTTCTTGGACGAGATAGCAGGTCAGGAGGAATTATGGGTTTTAGATTTTGTGTCTGTAAATGCTGCCGAAACTGTTATTAATTCTATAAGACCGCCGTGGGAAGAATTGTTCTCGATTCCTTTACAAATTACTACTTGTAAAACATCTGACACGACGGACACGTGAAATGATTTTTAACGCGTATGATTCTAGTCTAATGAAACACATCAAGCCATTATTAATCAAATGCAATCAATTGTCTTCTTACTTTTCTCGTTCGATTCTTCATTTTATTCTTTAATTTTTAGTTCATGCACTAATGCAAATTAAATGTTAAC